ATGTTGTCAAAGGGCTTTAACTTTGCTTTGTCGTGATATGTTGTCAAAGGGCTTTAACTTTGCTTTGTCGTGATATGTCGTAAAAGGGCTTTAACTTTGCTTTGTCGTGATATGTCGTAAAAGGGCTTTAACTTTGCTTTGTCGTGATATGTCGTAAAAGGGCGTTAACTTTGCTTTGTCGTGATTTGTTGTCAAAGGGCTTTAACTTTGCTTTGTCGTGATTTGTTGTCAAAGGGCTTTAACTTTGCTTTGTCGTGATATGTCGTAAAAGGGCTTTAACTTTGCTTTGTCGTGATTTGTTGTCAAAGGGCGTTAACTTTGCTTTGTCGTGATATGTCGTAAAAGGGCTTTAACTTTGCTTTGTCGTGATATGTCGTAAAAGGGCTTTAACTTTGCTTTGTCTTTGCTTTGTCGTGATATGTCGTAAAAGGGCTTTAACTTTGCTTTGTCGTGATATGTCGTAAAAGGGCTTTAACTTTGCTTTGTCGTGATATGTCGTAAAAGGGCGTTAACTTTGCTTTGTCGTGATATGTCGTAAAAGGGCTTTAACTTTGCGTTGTCGTGATATGTCGTAAAAGGGCTTTAACTTTGCTTTGTATTATACATTATTCGTAGAAAATGTGAAACACATAAAGCAGGCGTCATCTTACAGTGTAAAACAGGTTATCTGTCGTAGGACACTTACAGAGAATAGATACTTTGTTTCCTCAATAAAAGATCAGACTTGTGTAATGTATATTAGTTGGGTGCTTTTTAGTGTAAGAGTAGGGTGCAGAGCTTGTTGATATGGAGATATTTGAATTTTTCGCATTGTAGCATAATCAGTAATTAATGTACTGACCATATCTTTGTCATCTTTGTTTTTCTTGACACATGCTTTCCATTCCACATAAACACAAATACAAAATGTGTTCAATAGATGGAGTAAACTAAATACTTAATAAGATTTCTAAATTTTCACTCCATCATGTGTAATGTAACGATAGTTCAGTGGTAAGCTCTCTGCACTCAACTCCAAAGGTACTTGGATCGAACCCTCAATTGACATTTTTTTTACTGAAAAGGGAACTTTCATGATATCGAAACTTTCACGACCTTGTTTCTGTTTTGTTTCGTTAGAGATCATTACAAAATAATGAAACAATCAAATTGTTGATTGTTTGAGATGTGAAATTTAATCTTAACATAAATCTTTTAATTCCCGCGTGGTTTCCAATCGCTCGAACTTCAGGTTATCTCTGAAGCGTGCGAAAATCTTTTTCTCATCAACAACAAAAAAGTGGTATGACATAGATATTTCTATAATGAACTCTCCTTCTCTCAATACATTTAAATCAATTAACATTAAGACAGAAATAATACATAACAAATGCTTTTAGGATAACCGTAATACAGCTGAATGTAGATGCAACAACCCATGTGAAGACTTTTATTACTATTTTTGTGTTTGTTCCCTATACATTCATAATCGAAATCTATTAATAAGTCGGTTACAACCTCTGTTTGAGAATTTAAGTAGATTTACTCATATATGGCGATTAGAAATGAAGCAAAGATGATGATATCTCTTAATTGCAAAAAAAGTAAAATAGGGATTTGGGGATTTGATTGAATGTGAGATGACCTACCTAAAAAAAGAAAACTGACAATTTAGATATTAAAAAAAAGCAACTTTTTATTACCAAAGTAAAACGCATATCTATCTAATTGGATTTGTCTGAATTCAAGTTTTATTATCCTTAAAATATTTGTAAAAATTTTAAAAAAAGTCTTCATACATCTTTGTCCTTCAAAGATTATTAACAAAATCTTTCGCTTCTTTAATATTTTACAAAATGTCTAGATGAAGTTTTAGTCAACACAAACTATCTGGTACAAACTGTCTAGCTCTATGAGGTTGGTAAATTGATATCCATGCACCTTAAAACATATCGAAATAAGATTGTAAAAGGATTATCTTTTTTCAAATATCTATAGAATGATATAATCCATCTGCAAGAAACTTCAGTGTAGAGGTACAACATCAGTTTCTGGTTACTTTGGTGTAGAGGTACAACATCAGTTTCTCGTTACTTTGGTGTAGAGGTACAACATCAGTTTCTGGTTACTTTGGTGTAGAGGTACAACATCATTTGTTTCTGGTCACGTTACTTTTGATGTAGATGTACAACATTTGTTTCTGGTCACGTTGATATAGAGGTACAACATCAGTTTCTGGGTACTTTGGTGTAGAGGTACAACATCAGTTTTTGGGTACTTTGGTGTAGAGTTACAACATCAGTTTCTGGTGACATTGGTGTAGAGGTATAACATCAGTTTCTGGTTACTTTGGTGTAGAGGTACAACATCAGTTTCTGGTTACTTTGGTGTAGAGGTACAACATCAGTTTCTCGTTACTTTGGTGTAGAGGTACAACATCAGTTTCTGGGTACTTTGATGTAGATGTACAACATTTGTTTCTGGTCACGTTGATGTAGAGGTACAACATCTGTTTCTGGTCACGTTGATATAGAGGTACAACATCAGTTTCTGGTTACTTTGGTGTAGAGGTACAACATCAGTTTCTGGTTACTTTGGTGTAGAGGTACAACATCAGTTTCTGGTTACTTTGGTGTAGAGGTACTTTGGTTTAGAGGTACAACATCAGTTTCTCGTTACTTTGGTGTAGAGGTACAACATCAGTTTCTGGTCACGTTGATGTAGAGGTACAACATCGGTTTCTGGTCACGTTGATGTAGAGGTACAACATCTGTTTCTGGTTACATTGATGTAAAGGTACAGCATCAGTTTCTGGTGACATTGGTGTATAGGTATAATATCAGTTTCTGGTTACTTTGGTGCAGAAGTACAACATCAGTTTCTCGTTACTTTGGTGTAGAGGTACAACATCTGTTTCTGGTTACTTTGGTGTAGAGCTACAACATCAGTTTCTGGTAACTTTGGTGTAGAGGTACAACATCTGTTTCTGGTTACTTTGGTGTAGAGGTACAACATCAGTTTCTGGTAACTTTGGTGTATAGGTATAACATCAGTTTCTGGTTACTTTGGTGTAGAGGTACAGCATCAGTTTCTGGTTACTCAGCCTACATTATCTGAGACTAACAAATTCATATTTGCAACAAATCTATGACTTACTTATGAGCGCGTTTTAAAATTTGATGTAAAGAAACTGCTGATAGATGTGTTTAAGTTGCTTTCAATTTTATTTTGATAGATTTTCGAAGAGCACAGATCATGTCAATGCCGCATTCGTGCTAGATATATCTAAGAACATACCCTATATTGCATATAATTAGAGCACACAAGGATGTTTTGCTATACTTATGTGTACATTTACACTTACATGCCGTGAACAATATGTCACGTAACACCGATCGGTGTGTAAATACATCTGTGCACGGCAGCGCCTATTTTCATTTCCATATATACAATAAAAAGTATGTGGTTATCAATATTATGTGTATTCTATTGCAAAACTGTGCGATATAACCACACAAATGTGCAATAGCTTATTTGCGGTTTTTTTCCGTCATGCATACATTGTGCATACATCGTGCACTTTTCAAGGATTGACTTGATACTTAATATCCCCATTCGTTACCTAGTAAACGATAAGTAGGTATCAGATATAAAATTGCACTGCACCATACAGACATTTTAATAATTAAAATAGTCAATAAAGAATCTGAATTGCATCTTGCAGCTGTTTTGTCAGTCCAGGACTTGTCTGTGAGTCTAAACTCTGAAGCCTAATAAAGATTATCTATCACGAAGCTATTGTACTTCGTTGTCTAGATTTTGACATTTCTGTCGGTAAGTTTGGATTTTCCTCAATTGCATCCTAGGTTTGAAATTTAGGCCCTTAGCATTACTGATGAAACAGCAGCGGAAGAATTTGTAAATTCCACCACTGTGACAAATCTACAATCGTATGATACTTGTTTTAGTCAAAGTTTAATCACTTATATTCCATGTGTGAGTTTAGCCACCTCCTAAGTTTCCAAATCAAGGGACTAGGACGAGTACAATAAGGAAGAAATTCATGATTCATGATATGGCTCCATTGTAATCTTTTTTCATATACTTTTCACTTGTGTCCTTTAGCACTAATTTCGACGTTTGCCATTAATAACATTTTTGCTTGTTTATGTTCAATTAACATAATTTTATTCATATTTTACAAATTTGTTTTTATATTTATATTAACCACCTAATGTTGTGCATTTAACGCAGGATGGTTCTGGGGTCTTGACCCTGATCTATGGCAACAAAGTGAAATTCGTCATTTTCACTTTTCTCTTGACGCCCAGTTTTAAATGTGCCATAAGCCCAGGCAAGCTTGTCGGTGTAATATTACCTGGAGTGATAGTATTACGGTAGTAATATTTATCCTCTATAAAGCTCGCGCTCTATTTCACGTGTTTTACATTTAAAAAAAAATACCTATCTGATATATTAATCTAAACTAGGCATTTGGCACATCTGTCATTGACGTTGATAAGGACATATGAAGGTGACATAGTACAGGACGTTTGTTGGAGAGTCTTGAATGTAGAAGTCGGCAGCTCAATTGAAATATCCTTCTGGAAGTTGGCTAAGATTTTCGACCTCCTGGCATCAAATGCCAAGCTCACAAAACGAGGACTTATACCGCACAAGGACAAAAAACGACAAAAGCAAAAAATCACAAACAAGTTGAGAATAGAACTGAAGTTGATTTGTTATGAGATATGATGAGCAGTAAAATTACTGAAATAATTAATGATTAACGGACAGGCATAGCAAATCACGACTGAATATAACTTAAAAGCTGTGATGTTTATTTGAATGAATGATCACGTATTCAACCCAACCTTATTTATATGTACTAACTGTTCCAAAACTGGTATAGGTAAGGGAGGAAATAAACCTGCACGTGTACATGAATTAACAACAATTCATTTTACTTTTGATGTCGACCTTGGGACTACAACTTGTCATACGCAACATATCAAACTAAGATGTCAAACCAGGCTCGCGGAAACTGGTCAAACCGGCTGGATTTTTTATTTTCGTGTATTGGAGTAACTGTCGGTCTTGGAAATATCTGGAGATTCCCGTACATCTGTTACAAAAATGGAGGAGGTTTGTTTCCTTGTAATCACAATACTTAATTTATTTACGGTATAGTACCGAGTATGTGTCCACTGTGTAACCAGTTATCTAACATGTTGTAATTGTCATTTGTGGAATTTTATGTATCTATAATACAACACTATCTGATTTTGTATTCTTTTATCTGTTTGTTGGTTTTATAATGTTGAACTTTGCCTTGATTATCTATTATCTGTTGTTGTAACGACACTATACAGCAAAGCAAAATATTCATATTCTTTGATAAATTACATTTTAAGGACTTGTTTGTTGTTATGGTAATTCGCGAAATCTATATTCAGCCTATCGCTATTTCTCGAAAACCATTTGAAGGATATTTCTGAAACTTGATTTATACGTTACCCTTGGTCGTTCTTTGTGTCTATTTTATTTTTTGATTGGTCAGGAAAACAAAATCGCCAACAAGCAGTAATTTTGGATTTAGGCAATTGAAAATTGTCATCACTAATCCCCGATTTGTACTGGAAGATATTTTCTAAAATTTGATATGTAGGTTCCAATCAATGCCTAATTTTTTCTCTTCAATTTTGAGTTACTATGGCCATACCAAAACTTACAAACAAGAGACCATCTTGGACTTTGACAGTTGAAGGTGGTTATTGCTATTTCTTGAAGTAATAAAAGATATTTCTAACATTGACTTGTAAAATCACCATGGTCATTTGCATCGATTTTTATTGTGAGGCTGATGAGTGAGGAAGACAACATTGCAACATTCTTTAATGTTGACGATTCAATTTTGTTACCGTAATTCCGTGAAATACGGCAAGGATTTTTCTCCACTCTGTCGCTAGTTTAAATTGGAGTTTGATCAGGGAAAATCATGGCAGATTGGATGCCATCTTATTTTCAATAATTTTTTGCCAATGATCTTCCATGAGAAGTTCTGTTTGAATTCCTTGTTGGTTCCCCTTTGTCTTCTTAAATAAAGTTATGTGTCTAGTGTTTTGAGCCCCGAAGCTCCTTATCGTCTCCAGCATCCCTATCTAGTTTTTGATGTGTCACAGCAACCTGAATCTACGGACCTATTGCCATGATGATGTTTACAAGAAATCAAGAAATGAGTTTTGTTTTCTTTTTAGACTGTATGTGTATTTGACATAACAACCATTTCTACTTGACAGGTGCCTTTCTCATTCCGTACATCCTGTGCCTTGTCATCATCGGTACGCCGTGTATTTTCCTTCAATTTACGTATGCCCAATACTCAAATCTAGGACCGGGAAAAGTCTGGGAATGTTGTCCTTTATTCAAGGGTATTGTGATTTGTTTTATCTTATCCAATTGATCGATAATGTAATTTCATAAAAATAGTTTGAACTCTGAATACATGTCATCTTACATTATTTCATCATGTTGTAACAACAAACATTTCGCACAATTCATTTTCGTTTTAGAAATACGAAAATAACCAGCTCAATTCCCATTCTTAGCAATCGTTATTTACTGTGAATCATCACGTACAATTCACACAGATTTGCTTGTCCAGTCATCTAGTGTGACAAGGGATATATATTCTGATTTCTGTACATATTTTACTAGGAAGCCAGCTTTTTCACTTTTGCTGGAAAATTAGAAAGATAGAGTCTAAAATTGTGTGTACGCTTTCTGTCAACTCCATAGGAATTGGTTACGGAATGATGACAATTACAGCTGTTGTTGGATTATACTATACAGTCATCATCTCTTGGACACTTTACTATTTTGGGATGTCCTTTTCCTCAACACTGCCGTGGGCGACGTGTGACAACGACTGGAACACACGGTCATGCTTTGCGAGGAACAAGTGGGATACAAATGAAACTGCAATTTATACAAACCTCACGGAATCTGCATTTCCTGAATGGGTTAATGAGTCATCCCTTTCGTTGAAAACTCCGCCGGAAGAATTCTGGGAGTAAGTAGGACACTTGCTATCTACAAAGCCCTTATGCGATGACGGCAAAAGTTGTCATCTTAGTTATAAAGTCAATGGCACTTTACGATGGCAAAAACAAAGGATTCTTAAAATTTATTTGCATATATTTATTCATTTTTCTTTTTTATTCTGAAATACTGCTTTCAGTTGCAAGCCGATAATGCAAAAGTGTTAAAGTTCAGGTCTCAAGTCTATGAGAGTTAATATAAATATGTGGAGGAAGACATAAAGGTGTGAAACATTTGTGATGCATTTCATTTATGAAGATAGACAATTGATTTCCGATGTGTTTAAGAGGTTGTGAATTTTAAAGGAGCATTGTCAGTCATTTCTATTCAAATTAAATATTTGGTTAATTCTCATAATTGGTTTTGCTATCACCAAGGAGCGAGCCAACTTCATTTTTGTAAGAAATGAATGCTTTCCCC